GTATGGTGTAATGCTTCATTTGTGGCTGAGAAATCTACAATTCCTTAGTATTTGTACTTTGACTAGTTGTGAGTTTCTGTAATAATCACTGTCCACTATAGTAGGAAGCTTCTCTGATAAGGGGTGGAGGTGTGTAACCACACTAACCTTCAAGTAAAAGGACAAATATTTAAAAGGAAGTTTGATTATCAGTCAGTTTAGCAAAATAACAATAGTTGTTATCCACAATAGCATATGACCTGACTAACTGGGAGTTCTTGGTCAGATTTAAGGTACTAGGCAGGATCTCACTCCTTTGGAGCTTCTAATTAGTACTATGCATAGGCTCATGAATATGTAGCCACACAAGTGGACATGGACAATCAAACTATGGCGATAGCCCAAGGAAAAATGTTCCTTCCATCTCCCAGCAACAATCATTCACTAACCGATTCTCAGCTAGAGATGAGGCCTCCTGAGTTCCTGCCTCTTCTGTGTTGGAATTTTATCTGACTTGATCTTCTGCAAGTCTTGTGGAGATAACCAAAGATGCTATAAGTTCATCTGGGCAGCAGCGGTCATATCATATCTATAAGACAGCATTACACAATACTTATCCCCATCCTCCAGTTTCTCCATTCTTTCTGCCCCTCTTCTCTGATGTTTCCTGGGTTTTGTGGATAACTTAGGGCCACAAGAAGAACATTTTTTGAAAGTATTATTAGACTTCCTTTTTCTTTTTAATCCTCAGGGGAAGTAAGAACAAGATGCCTTTCTTTTCTCACAAGTATCATTTCTTTGAGTCTCTGCTTTTGCTAACTTAAGGCAGTGATTATAGTTCCTAGATTCGAACATGTTCAGGAAACATTTTGGTATTCGGTAAAGAATATGGATTTGAAAACTGACAAATTTAAGTTACACTCCTAAATCTTCCTTCACTAAGTGTGTGATTTTCTACATGTCTCCTACTTTCTTTAAATATCCAAGTCATATTTTGTAAAAGATGAAATAAATAATGCTTAAAATTAATTATCAACGTGCTTCAGGTGCTGGATCACACATTTATACAGATAAACAAAAGGACCACAGTTTCTCTTTGTATTCTAAATGGCATGAGCACCATTTCTACTTACCTACCTACCTACCTACCACTTCTCACCACACTGAGAAGAAAATAAAGCAGTATTAACACAATTTAATAAACCCAAATTCACCAAATAATATATATATATATATATATATATATATATATATATATATATATATATTGCTTGGTTAATGCTTTTTTTGAAGGAACAATTCTTTCCTAATACCTAATTTTATTTTGTTTCAAAATAATACATAGGTGTGGGGAGATGATGTTATCTCACAGCACTGTGTAGTGGGGGGTAAGAGGAGGAAGAAGCATCTTCTACTTGGGGTGGTCTATGTCTAGAAGACACAAAACCTCTTACCAACCCAACCAAATTTAAATGATGCTAAAAAGCCAAGAGCCTTGAGTAATTCTTGGATGCCAGATCATTTATAAATGTGGTTAAAATAAATCCAGGTTTGTTTTCATTCTCTGGGTCCAACTATGGATTCAGTCCAGCTAATTGAACATGCTAAAATGGTTGAGAATATAGCCTCCAGGAGCCTCTTTTTTCAAGTGAGATGGTAAACACTTGATTTCTCATGAAACTGGACAGTGAATTTTTCACTGATATTTGATACCTATTAATGATCTTTGTTTAATCTTCTGACAATTCTTACCTTCTGAAATGAGGTTTGTATCACTTTCATCACTGACCATTCCTGTGGCCTTTGCAGGAAATGGTGTGGAGCTTCTGCCTACTGTGTCTTAATTCTGCCAGCATCCTGGTCTTCCTGTTGTTCTGAATATCAATACCCTTGGAATTGCTGCAAGCCCACTTTCTTTTCTAGTGTACTATTGTGCTCTCCACCACTCACCTAACATCTTCTGCTGAAGATTTGACAGTGATCACCACCAAGTTTTCATGTCAGTTCCTAAGTTCCCCCTGAACATGTTACACATTAGCAGAGCCAGCACATGTGTTCCTCCATATTATTTGGGAACTGCTACTGTCTCCAGAGCACCACCCTCATTAGCATCTTCTCTCATGCTCACACTTTACCTCAGGTACATCTCTCCATACAAGCTCATGTACCCTTGTTGTTTTCTGGAGCCTTTCCAGCACATATTCTCTTCTAGTACCCTTACCTAGAGAGAAGCTGCAACTTATTTTCTGTGTTTACTATTTATTTCCCATTATTTCTTCCCTCTATCTTAACAGCATCAACATTTCTTTTGGTCCATTTTTTTGTGGAGAAGGGGCTTTATCAGAGATATGATTTTTCTAAGTCTTCCAGGCTACCTGTAACTTTTCAGACTTGAGAACGGGATAGGAACGGAGAGACATACAGAACATTAAACATTTTACCTGTGAATATCTGGCACGTAGTAACTATGTCAATATATCATATAATTGCAATGTTGCCTAGAGAGACAGTTTATAATGTAAACAATATCAAGTAATAATTCTAATCCCATATTGTAAGCAGAAATGTGACGAACCTCACCTGAATACAAAAGGTATTTGGAGGGTTGCAGACATGACTCAACAGAGTAAAGTGGTCACTCCTCTCCCAGAAAACATATCTTTGGTTCTCAGCACCCACATGGCAGCTCATAATTTCTTAGGAGTACAGTTTCAAGGAGTCTGATGCCCTTTTCTGGCCTCCATGTCCTCTAGCATACATATGACACACATAAACTCATGCTGGCAAACACACATACACATAAAAATAATAAAAACCAATAAAGAAATCTGTATGACTTGTCAAACTTTTAAGTGTCCTGTAAATATAATGTTTAGAAACAATACAGCAGGTTCCATAGCAAGCTCTGCGAACTCATATTTATCATTAGGGAAATTTCTATAAAGAATCATATGTTCTTTATAAAACTTGTTCTTCAAATTGTAAAACTTCAGCATTAAATAATTTGTAAGAAAAATCAAATACTACAAACAACTCCATGGATGTGGAGCTCTAACCATTAATGTTGTAGTATATCAACAAATGTCCACTCAAGATCCATGTATGAATCACAAATCCATAAATAAATGTTTATTACAATATAGATATGTACATTAGTTTGTATCTGCTATCCTTCTTCAAGCAAACAGAGTAAACAGCTAGCAAGTCTAAAATTTTGCACAGATGATAAACCATATTTCTTTCATACCAATCCAAACTAATATTAACATATGCAATCCAACATTTGGGTTTAAGAATTGACATTACAGACAAGAGTATTATTATTTTAGTCAATGTGCTTGTTATATCATTATCGATTTCTAGACAATTCCCTTTTCCCAAAGTTCAAATTTTATAGTTATGAAACTCTAAGAACTGTTCCAAGATAATTATAATTGTTTTCACATATGCTACAACAGGTTATTCTCATATTGAAACTCAAGGCCACCAATATCCTTTACACACTAGTACCCAAATTTGTTTCCTAGAGATCAGTGGATTCCATTAGCTGCCTTGACATCAGACTTCAACATGCAACAGCTCTTTGTATGATTTCTTAAGAATGAGATTGTCTAGTTAAAAGGATGTAAACTTTTATGTGCCAAAGATTATTAAAATAATTTGAACTCTCTTTCACCTCCTGAACTGCCAAATTCCAAACAATTATTTTCTGTTTTGTCTCGAAATGTGGCTGTTGTGAGACCGTGGATCATACAGAATTTGGAGCCAAATGAACATGAATTTGAACCCTGACCCAAAACCAGTAAATTATATGGCTTCACTTCTGATCCTTAGTTTCTTGTCTATAAAATGAACATGGCAGCTTCTTAAAGCAATGTTCTGTTATGAGGGCTTATGATCATTTATCTGAAAGTCTAGTACAGTACTTGTACACATGGTAGCAATATAATTAATAGTTCTTTTAACTTCCCTCACAAATCCCCACTCCTTGACTACATGGTATCTTAGCTCTCTAAATTTTATTATTATTCTTTCCTGCTTTCTAGGATGTAACAACTACATAAATAGTAAATAAATAGAAAACATAACCAATCATCTTAGAACAAGCAGACTTAATTCCTTCAAAGAACTCAGAGCATTTTTTTTTAATCAAAGATCTCATAATGTAAAGAAAATGTCTAATTGTCTGTGTTTCATCTAAGTTGTCCAAGACAGCAACCCATGATAATTGTGGTTACATTTTTACATATGAAATATTGTAGCATCAGTATTTGAGGCTGTATCTGCTCAGAGACCCTAAGCATTACTGGATTCTCACTTATCACTGTGTACCCTTCAAGTCCTATATGTAGCTCCAAGGTCCAGTTCTGCTGAGAAGAATATCATAAAAATGTTTTTAAAATGGCTGAAGGAATTATCCCACAAACAAGTGTATTCTAAAATTTCTTATAGGTTACAAATTATAGAAAATCTATCAAGTATTACTGTTTATAAATATCCATTACTTATGTTAAAATAACATTGCTGCCAATAAGGAAAGGGAACCCAAACAATTCAAATAATCTTGGCATGTCTTACCTCCTAGAAGTTAAATATTGGTTAAACTCTAAGGTCTTATGAGATCTCTCCCAACATCCACTTTTCTCGATACTGTTTCAGTATCAGACAGAACAGATACATCATATAGGCAGAGAGCTAAAGAAACCTTCTCTAGATATCTCCCTGCACAGAACTCTGCTTGTATGAGCTCAAGGCTTTTTTCTCTGTGTTCTACACTCAGAACTCAGGTAACTGCTTCCCAGCCAGCAGTTCCCTCTCTCTGGAATGAAGGATAAAAGTGAGAAAACTACTGAAGATCCTTAGGGAAATGCGATTCCCTAAAATCTGGATGGAAAAGGAGGGAAAAGTATACTCAGAACATCCAAGACAAAGATCTCATTCCTGGATTTCTGAAGAAAAAAGAACTAAGTGAACCAGTTGCCAGGACAACCAGTGTTGTGGAGAAGGGTTGGGACAAAGAAATGGGTGACCTATGGGTACTTCTGCTTTTGCCTCTGTCCCTGGCAGCCTTTCATGGGGTCAAAGGCTGTTTGGAGTGTGACCCCAAATTCATAGAGGATGTTAGGACCTTGTTGGGAAAGCTGGTACCTGTAGAAGTTCCTGGGAGAACTCAACTGCTTGACAGGCAGCATCAGGAGATAACCCACTTAAGCTCCAAAGTCTCCCACAAGGATAAGACGCTTCGGTTGTTGGGTGAGGGAAGCTGGAGTCCTGAGAGTTTGGGTGGCTAAAGGGAGAAGGGGGGTATGGAAGAGAACACCTGGGTCCACTCCACATCCTTCAAAGATGTGACAATTTCCTACCACACACGTACCTTTCTCCTTCCTCTGCAGATGTTCGAAATGTTGTCAAATGGAGAGTATGGCTCAAGGGGGAACTTTATAAACTGGGCAATGAAACATGGAAAGGTAAGATAATTGTTTCACTGTCACAAGTTGTATGGCACCAACAGGAAAAGAGATCTGAGGAAATTTTCTGGGGAGAGCAAAGCAAATTAAATTCTGAAATAATCACCCTAATTTCTGGTATCCTTTCCATTTCCTTTTTAGGTGTCTTTATCACCCAAGGCAAGTTTCTTAGTGTTCGCCAACACCTGGAATCCCAACTGAAAGAAACGCTGAAGAACTTCGCTGCAATTGGTAATAAGACATTTCTACCTAACAACATTGAAAGTATGTCAGAGAACAGGAACTAAGGGATGAGAAGAGGAGTGAGGGTTCAGGTTACAATGGACCTAGTTGTAGTGAGAAATGAATGTACAACAGGGACAATGTAGGTATAAATGTGACACATGTGAAGTGGATTTTAAGCTCATTAGATCTTTCTGATTCTCTTTTAGCTTGTTCAGAAGATTGCAGTGAGTACAGTACATGTGACGCCTTGAGGTTTCAGCCCATATTTTCCCATCTCCTTTCTCTGTTTGCTCTTCTCTCCCACTAGTTAACTTTGAACCCAATTCTTAGAGCTGTTGAGGAAATATGAATAATATTTGATGACAAAGTTGAGCTTGTAATATTTTATACACTGTACAGTTTGAAGGAGTGCTCATGCCTCTCCAACCTACTGCTCCAACATAAGCTATGAAATCATTGCTCCACTTCATCCACAAAGAGCCAAATATTTATAATCTTTCAAATTTTAAGAATCTTGACTATTAGAGGAAGGACTAAACAAAAATGTAACTTAAAAGTCCTGGGAATGTCTGAGATCTAATCTATATTTATGAGCTAAGTAACACTCTTGCCATATCCCTTTTATGATTATATTTTTCTTTGCCAGTTGTAACTGAAGGTCCTGTCCTTGACTGTTGGACCTGTCTTCGCATGACCACTCGATGTTTCAGAGGAGACTATTGTAAAGGTGACATAGGCTGTAGTATGGCAATTTGAGGGGACAAGGATCAAGGAACCAGATTGCCCATTGACGTTTTTTCTAGTGCTTTTAATAAAGCTTATAGTAACACTTACAAAACAAGGTAAAAATGTTGAGTAAAATATACATCAACGTGAAAAACTTAGAACAAAGCCAATGGAGTGGGTGAAAAGTGAGTAGGGCGGGACTCTGGACTCCACTGCAAATTACTAGGTTAAAGGGAGGCAAGTGGAAAATTTTTGAAGGGGTCTAACACAAGAAGTCCGGGAACAGTGATAAAGCAGGTGGTGGCCAACTCATTTGAACAGAGTTCATTCTGTATAAAGATTCCCAATTACTATTACTCTTATTCCAAACTCATTTTCATTACTTCCTTTTCTCCTTCCAGATGAGAATCCAAAGAAGGCTGAAAATCGAGAGATTGCGCTGTATCTGGTATTGATAGCAGAAGCTGTAATATTGGCAAGTGCTGTGTTACTGTGAGTTTTCCACCCTCCAAGCATTCCTTTGCCAAAGAGATTGTCCAAACTCCTTCCTCTCTAATGGAAAATGGGGAAAGAACTAGACAGAAGTTGATGCAAATAGTAGATGGAATGTAAGAGAACACAGAATAATCCAGGAACAAAAAAATCCCAACTATATAATTATTTCTCAACTATTGCTTCTTACAATTAAGTGTGGATTGTCCTTTCTCTGCTCTAGATTCCATTTTTGTATCTCACATCGGAGAAAAATGAAGGTAATACGAAGGACACTGAAGACATATTTGGAGAAGAAACTTGAAGAATTAGTGGGGGTGGTAGATACAGATGATGAGCAAAAGGATTTGGAGACCCTGAAATCAAGTTCGCAGTCTCAGACAGGAAATCCTTCAAGTGTTGAGTCAGAGTTGCAAACTGGGACTTGAGTTCTTGCATGGTCATGAGATCACAGCACCTTAAAACTGGAGGAGAACTTAAGGTTTCTCCAGTGAATATCCTTACTGACATCCTGAGACAACGGATGACATGAGAGGGCAAATGATTTACCCTGAGTTATACAGAAAGTAAACTGGTATGCTGCAACACACACAAGAGGCAATATGCCATGTGCTAATAAAAACACACTGTTAGTCACTCTCATGAATGGCAGTAATTAGGGCACCTTCCACGTTTACAAATCAGCATTTTCTTTCTATGTTTATTTTATGTCTGTTTCCATATCTAACATCAGGTTAGGTGTAGATGATTTCCTAGGTAAAAGATATTTAATCTTTATCATAATATCTTAACCACATATATATGTGTGTGTAAAATAAAGTCCAAAAATACTAGTCCTGAACTTTCCATTTTGCCTTGCTTCCTTTTATTCTGTAAGCTTGTTTCAGAAGATAAGTACCACAGTTTATCAGCATGAAGCAAATAGTAAATGGAGTCTTAATTCAGCAGTGGGTACAAATGTTTGCAAATCATTCCATGCTGCACAACTCTGTGTGCTTGCTTAGGGCCGCTGCTATATGAATGAGACATTAGGTGATGAGGATAGTCTCAAAGGAACTTGGGCATTGATATCTCTGGGTGATTAAATTTTATTGTAACACTCAGAGGATACTGTTATGGGACACCTATCATTTCTCAATGACTTAGGGCACACCCCTCCTCATCTTATTCTGATATATTACTCTAATTCATGAATTACATCTTTCCATTGTTTTGCTTTTAATTACAAAAATATACACAAGAAAATAGAACTGTTAAAATTTGTGGTGATGGAGTTTGTTTTGGAACAATACACTATTATTTTGTGTTTAATAGTATTCTCTGAACAATGAAGGAAGGTACACATCACGGTATGTTGTTGTAGATATAGTGAACTGACTAATGTAGGTAAACATGTATTGTGTTGGCATGTTATCGCTTATCTTTCCTCTGCTATTTACTGTTCTCTATCTAATCTGTGAATCCTTTTAAAATAGTTTCTAGTGCATTTCCATCAATTTTTCAAAGTAAAAAATATTATGTGGGGCTGGAGAGATGGTTCCATAGTTAAGAGCGCTTGCTGTTCTTTCTGAGGACTAAGGTTTTATTCCCAGTACCTACATTTCACCTTACAAGCATCTATAATTCAAATTCCTAGGAAACTACAGATCTCTCCTGGCTCCTAGAGACATTAGACCCTCATGCAGTGCACATAACATACATGTAGGCAATACATGCATAAACATGAAATAAATCCTTCAAATAATATATGTATGTGCGGGTGCCTATATGTCTATATGCATAACACTTGCATATCTGGTGCCCACTGAACCCAGACGACGGCATAAACTCTAGCATTGGTATTACAGGTGATTCTGAGATCCTGTATGGGTGCAAAGAACTGAACTGTGTTCCTCTGCTAGAGAAGCCAGTGCTCTTAACAGTTGACACATTTCTCCAACCTCATTTCATCATTTTTAATATACTTTAAACACTAAGTAGATAGGCATACTCATGTACAATTACAGTTGATTTTGTGGATTATACAATTAGGTATAAATTTCTACTGATATCAGGCTGGTTTTTATACATCCCTTTGTAGACTTTAAAAACATGGCTCTCAGAGCTATAAGCTGTTAGTGGCTGCTGAGGTAGGGAACATTAGTCTTCTCCAGGGACCAACCCCGATAGGTTATTCAATTCCCAGAAATCAGCAATAAACACATACAAACATTAGTAACACTAAAATCAGCAGGATATAGATAATATATATGTATTATACATAAAATATATATAATTAAATATAATATATATTAATAATAATATTAATTATTATTTTATTTGTATTAAAATGTTATTTGTATGTTTAAATAAAGTTGCCTGGGCGTCAGAGCTATCAGCAAGCCATAGGAAAGCAGGGCAGTGGTAGCGTATGCTTGTAATTCCAGCACTTGGTAGGCAGAGCTGGGTAAGTCTCTGTGTGTTCAGGGATACAGCCATTATTGGATACACATGCCTTTAATCTTAATACCAATCATGGAAAACCTGGAGGCCTATACAGACAGGCCGTGAGGAGGCGGTCATGTGGTTGGGTTTACAACCAATGAGAAGGCAGGACAGGAACTCTATATAAAGACTTTAACACAGGGGTAGCTCTGGTTCGGAGAGGTAGGACCACCGCAGAAGGAAGGGTAAGGTTTTACCTCTTAGCTCTGAACTCTTGGCTTTCTTCTTTGCATTGGTTCTGTGTTTCTTATTTAATAAGAAGGTTGGATACATCTACAAAGAGGTTATTAATTTGAGGAGTGGGGTAAAGTGGAAGAAATTGGAAGGAAGGGAAGAGAGGAAATGTTTTAAATACAGTACTCAAATAAAATTCTCAAAATAAATTCATTACTTGAAAAAAAAACAAAATAAAAATATAGCTCTCTGGACAGAATCCTAATATACAAGAGATTTTAGAGAAAATTGCTCTTTTGAAATGACCAAATATCAAATCACTTAAAGAATTGGTAAAATATCACCGATATTTTGATGTAATTATAATTTGTCTTCTGGGCCCTAGAAAATTTAAAGGACTATTTACCAAATAGAAACAAGCAGCTAAGAAATAAAAGGCACTATCAGATGCAGAGAGTAAGAACACAATTAGTATTAAACATAAAATAAATGTGTGAAAAAGAAAAGTATTAGATGAGATCATTTAAAGTATTTATTTATTTATTTAAATTTTTTTGTTTGTTCCCATTCTCATGTGGTTTTCATTTATCATGGTCTTTTATTCCTGTTCTCCCTCTCTGTTCTTGATCCAGCTGGGATCTCCCGCTCCCCTAAGCTCTCTTTCCCTCGAATCTTGCTCTTCATTACCCCCACTCACATCCATGTTTTTCATGTAGATCTCATCCATTTCTCTGTCATTGGACGATCCCTGTGTCTTTCTTGGGGTTCTGTTTTCTAGGTAGCCTCCCTGAAGTTGTGAGTAGCAGTCTAGTCATCTTTGTTTTACATTTAGTATCCTCCTATGAGTGAGTGCATACCATGTTTGTCTTTCTGAGTCTGGGTTACCTCACTCAGAATGATCTCCAGGAGTCCAATTGGTGAGAAAAAGGAGGGTTTGTATGAGCGAGAATTGTTGAGACCAAGGTTGGAAAAAGCACAGGGACAAATATCCAAACGAAGGGAAACACATGAACTATGAACCAATAGCTGAGGAGCCCCCAACTGGATCAGACCCTCTGGATAAATAAGACAGTTGATTAGCTTTATCTGCTTGGGAGGCATCCAGACAGTGGGACCGGGTCCTGTCCTCAGTGCATGAACTGGCTGTTTGGAACCTGGGGCTTATACAGGGACACTTGGCTCAGCCTGGGAGGAGGGGACTGGACCTGTCTGGACTGAATCTACCAGGGTCGGGGGTGGGGTGGGCGGATGGGGGGGTGGGGAGGCTGGGGCCGTGAGGGGGGAGAACAAGGGAATCCGTGGCTGATATGTAAAATTAAATTTAATAAATAAATTTTAAAAAATTTGTTTTTCGAGACAGGGTTTCTCTGTGTAGTCTTGGTGCCTGTCCTTGATCTCAATCTGTAGGCCAGGCTGGTCTGGAACCCACAGAGATCTGCTTGGCTCTGCCTCCTGAGTGCTGGGATTAAAGGTGTGCGCCACTGCCTCCCAGTTTAAAATCTTATTATAGGCTACTTATAAAGAAGAAAGAAAAAGAAACCTGAAAAACTTCCAGTAAAAATGGTTGAAGTGAGTATCTGGAAAAACTTCACCAACAGAAAGCAAGTATTTTATTGTTGGTAAAAACCATAAAAGAATTTTAAAAATTGAGTGAGAATAATATCTATGTTGATAAAATAATAGAGAAGAACAAAAATAATATTGAAATTGAATAAGTCTAGTAAAAATCTTGTGATTTAGAGTAAAGAAAAATCAACAATGTCAATAATTATTTCAAGCAAGTTTAAGCACAACTCTCATAGAAATTTCTTAATCTACAGAAAAGTCACAATGTTACAAATGTATAAAACACAACAGATAAAGAATAATTTATTGATCCCTGTGCCAAAATGATAGTTTTTCCCCTTTCTAATGCAGAAGGAACATTTTAAAAATTAAAATGTTTTTGGTTGTGAGCCTAGCCTTTAACAGCTGAACCATCTCTCTGGGCAGTGGTGGCACATGCCTTTAATCCCAGCACTGGGGAGGCAGAGACAGGCGGATCTCTGTTAGTTCGAGGTCAGCCTGGTCTCCAAAATGAGTTCCAGGAAAGGAGCAAACTACACAGAGAAACCCTGTCTCGAAAAACCAAAAAAAAAAAAAAGTTAAAATGTATATATCTTCCTGATGTTAATTGACTTTTGTTGTTTATCAAGGTCTAAGCACTTCTGGATATCCTCAGTAGGATCTCCTAAGTTAAATGGGATCCTTGATCAGTGGTGGCAAGTGAGAAAACTTTCTAAGATTGTCATGTGGAAATGTTAGCAGCAGGAGTTGGAGGAATTGCTCAGTGGGTCAGAGTACATGGAACCTGGATTCAAATTCTCAGCACTTAAAAGCCATGTTATGAAGCCAGGCATAATACCATATAACTTTAATCCCAGCACACAAAAGCACAGACACATGGCTTTCTGAGTTGGAGGCCAGACTGGTACACAGAGTGGGTTCCAGTCAGTGAAGGGTACATAATACGACCCTGTCTCAAAAAAGAAAAGAAGAAAAGGAAAGAAAACACAATAAAATTCATGCATGACCAAACCATGTGCTTAATCCATTAGGGCTTTCTGGCCTCCAGCAAGAGAAGGATTTTTGGGACTTGCTGACCTTCAGCAAGTGAGAGATGTGCCTCAAGGAAATGGAATGGTAGAGCAGGCCACACATCTACCTCTGTCCTCTGCATGTACACCAGCCTGTATACACACACACACACACACACACACACACACACACA